AACCACCACGGGATCGACAAGATCCGAATTGCTTCACTATAACAATAAGAGAGTTACAATTATTCTTCTAATGGCTACACAACAAGTGCCAAAAGAGAACAAACAATAGCTACACCAACAAAAGATAAATAGAAAGAAACACCACCCAAACCCAGCTTCTGTTCGGGACATAAAACAGGATCTTGCTGACTTCCAAACCCGATCTCCACCGTTCAAATCAACCACCAAGATGTCAGGAACACTCAGTACAAATTTCAGCCCGATCCAACGGTTAGTTAATCGAAAAACACGATCTGAAGGTTGCTGGTCGGAATAAAGACTGCAGCAAAAGAACCTTTTTTTTCTTCTCTTTTCTCTCTTGTTGAAAGCTCTCTCAAAAACCTCTCTTATGTCCTAATGTCTTTCAAAGAAAATATTAATGAGCAATCTAAATTATTCTCTCAAGACCATCCTCTATTTATAGAGTTGTGCTTTTCCCTTAACAAAGCCAAAACCAACTCCAAATAGGATTACTATTCCAATCCTTTTCCTAATAGAATTGGAAACCAAATAAAGAGAATAATTCCAATCCTTTTTCAAGTAGGATTAGGCCATGGGCCTTTGGCTGGAACATGGGCAATAGCCCAACAATATTCGCAAGCGTCAAATCATTTATAATGGAACTCAAATCATGAACAAGTGGACCATCAAATTAAATCTTATATCGAAACTCCATCAATCCAACTCAATCATTAATCTTTCTCAAACATCAATAGTACGTGATGTCAATGCTCAACAACAATCACTAACGCTAAAACACACCTAGATGCTTATTATTTAACTTCTAAATTATTTATATCAATTTCATGATTGTCAAAGGTGGAGTTTTAGTTGTCGAGGACGGTACTGATTTTACAACAGAATTAAAATATTGACAAGGGGAAAATAGTAAAGATGATCGTTTAAATAAGATAATTTTAATTATGTGAAATTTCTGTGTGTATGTTATGTGATTGTTGTCAAGATAAAATGACCATAGAGTAATAATGATCTTCAAGTGGAAAGAATAAATTGTTATTGTGGTGATCGATTTAGAACAATGATGGATGATGGCTAAGAAGAATGAAATCTTTCGAAAAGTTTAGAGAAAAATTTAATTCATTTCGCATAGCTCAAGGATGATTTTTCCTTGTTAAAAAAGATACATGTGCGAGAAAGCTTCCGTGGGTAGTGAGTAAGTGATGGTGTGAATGTCGATTTGAGAATTGAAGAAGAAAAGAGGAGGCTTTCTCATCCAAAGAGTACTGGCCCTAAACATAAAGAGATTGAATCGGGTCATTTATGGTACTGGGAATCATATTTGGGCCTCCTTTGGTTAATGGGCTCAGTCGAGAATGGGCTTGAAGCAAAGTGAGCAATTAGAGATAGGGGTGTATATGATCGGGTTGGTTGAAGTTTTTCAAATATCAAATCAAATCATTTGTGTAAAAATTTTAAATTTATAAACCAAACCAAACTAATAAAATTCAGATTTTTTTGGATTTTTCAACCTCGGGTTGGTTCGGGTTTTTCAGATGCCAAACCAAACCATTGTGTCAAATTTTTAAATTTATAAATCAAACAAAACTAATAAACCTCAAAAAATTTCAGATTTTTGAAATTTTTCGGTGAAGTTTGAATACAAACATATAGTTAACTTGTGCTCCAAATATTTCTTTAGTCCAACCAAAATACAATTATCTAAGGTGTTTCTTAAGAAAATAACACAAAATATGAGATGAGTACTGATGACACTAAAATATTCAATAAAAAATAATAATGAAATTATCATATAAATAAATATTGCAAATTCATTATGAAAATGATCATAATTTAAAAGTACTAAATCATGCTAAAATAAGTTTAATAAGTATTAGTTACATGACTAAATATTAAAGGAAATTAAAATAATATTTAAGGAAAATTAAAATTAGATTATGTATTTTAATTGTCTAAACCAATGTAAAACTAAAGAACAAATATTCAATATTATTGTCATTCTTAGTGTTGAATTGATTTTCTTTTTGCATTAGTATTAATTTGATTTTGATTTAAGTTTTATTATAATTATCAACATCTATGAACTATAATCTTTATTGGACTATTCCGAATTCTAAGTTTTAAATTTGAAGTAATATATTAAAAGATAAAAACTATGAAATAGTATAAGAAATATTTTAAAATTATATCAAAGTAAATATTTTTATGTATAAAATAAAATTTTAAAATTACATATATAATGTTGGGTTGGTTTGGTCTCGGATTGATTTTTTTTAGTTAAAACCAAACCAACCCAAATATAGTCGGGGTTTTTTTTTCAATACCAAACCAAGTCAAACCAAATCACTAGTCGAGTTTTTTTTTTGGTGTGACTCGGTTTGTGGTTTGGTTCGATTTTATACACCCCAAATTAGAGACATGATAATTGTCGCTGTTAGTTACGAATAGGACCTTTTTTTTCTGATTTTTCTATACGGTGTCTGGAGTCCGTATTTGAGCCCCCAACTAACTTTGAATTGTGCAATGTGGGATCCATTTGGGGGTGATGCTCCAACAGAATTTTTCCATACGCAGGGCTTCAACAGTTGAACCTGAAACCTCTAGTTAAGGATGGGGCAATCCTACCACTACACCACAACTCATGTTGGTAAGGAAACTTCTTTTTAGTTCTACATGTACAAGGCCTTTCACAGTCCATATACATGAAAGATATATTTGATCACAATTATTAATGGACGACAAATTTATATCATTTCACAAACCTAAATGCAAATAAACCGTAGATTGATGTTTCCATTTCTTTCATCTTCCAACGATATTCTTATTTTTACCATCACGATTCTTGTCATTTTGCGGACAACAATATCCAAATCTGCTTTTCGGGGAAGTGTTTTACTTTAACATATTAGTTTTACCTCCATAGAAAGTTGATTAAATTGTATTTAATTATAACTAAAAGAATATTAGACAAAACAAATAGCTATAACGATCATTTTTAGAGTCATGATGTTCGGGGCAATTTGCAGATACCTAGAATAATTTTACAAGATACATGTTATCTTTCACTATACGAAATATTGAATAACTCTATCCACTACATTAAAAGGTTATAAACTTTAAAAGCTTTCTTATATATGTGAAATTTACAAGAATATATTGTTTAAGATTTTGATTAACAATATATGCACCTACTCTTTTTTAATTACAAACATAGCAAAGAAAAATGATTTTTCGAGTTTTATTTATATAATTAATTTAATATTACTTTTTTCCTTCTTTAATATTTCATTGTTATACACGTTATCTTTTTTCCCCCAATATTATGTTTATCTCGTGTACCATAATTATCATCACCATAAAGTACGCACATAACCCAAAAAGAAGGGAAAAAGTAATGCTAAATTAATTATGTAAATAAAACTCGAAAAATCAATTTTTGCTATATTTGTAATTAAAAGAAGTTAAAAAGGAGTATATGCATATATTGTTAATTAAAGTCTTAAATAGTATATTCTTGTATTTTTTAATTTTTTCATTAATATTATTTTATGTTTTTGTAAAAATTTATTGCTATGTTGGTGAAAATTAAAACTATTGTATATACTTGTTATTTAGGTGCCTATTTTGTATTACTTATAAATGTCAAAAAGATGAGAGGCAAGATAAAATCACAAATAGAAAATGAGAGAAATATCAAGAGAAATCTTATAGATTATTGCAGCAAATAGTTCAAGAATTTTCATCAAACAAAAAAAAATGGGGTAGGGATGGCGAAAAGAAAAAGAGGACAATACTGTTCTTTTCCACAATAGATTAAGTGTGTTAAGTCAACTCTTAGAACTTATAATAACCTATTGCATTCTCTTAAAGAAACGGTATATATAAGAAATGCTATACACGAAGAAAATAACATAAGCATATCCACCATATAAAAGATAATAATCCATATAAAGAGTATAGACAAGTTCCTTACGAAAACTTCAATGTAATCGATCGAGAATCTCATATTGAGTTTGACCACCAAAAATATTATTATTAATCAAAAAGTTCAACTCATTGACTAAGAAAAATATCATCAGGAAAAGATTAAAAACAGAAGAGTAGGGTAACAAAGACGAGAGAGTTAAAGGTAATTAAAGATGAGAAAGTGGTCGGATTAACATCTACTTAGGGTGTGTTTGGTATGGTGGAAAATATTTTTTTTAAAATGTTTTTCTAGAAAAACAAGTTCTTAAAAAATGACGAAAATGACTTCTCTTAGTGAAAGTAAAACAAATTCTACAAGTGACATTTCATATACCCACACCTGACACCACACCTCTATCTCCACACCTTCATCTTTTATAGTATTTGTTTAAAATATACTACATATAAATGCTTTTAAGATAATATTGTTTTACTTACCTATCAAACACTAGAAAATAAATACTTAAGAAACTTACTTATCCTTCGTATTAAACACACCATCATTAGTTCAGATCTCTAATCATCTGCCAATCACCCTTTTTGTCAATTCTTCCGACCCTTAATATTTTTGACTTTTACATACCTTTTCCTACGAAGTTTCCTACCCACATTATGTTATGATACAGAGATTACGTTGACAATCTCATTTCATGTGAAGGATGTTCAGTCAATATACCTTTTCTTAATCATCTGACATTTAAACCACCGTGTTCAAATCAAGCACTGAAGTCCTTGTTCAATCAATTTACTTTAAAATAAAAAATCAATTTACTTTTTGTATCTTTTATAATTGATGTTGACTTAGAGATTATTTTTAATGAGAAACATGATTAGTGAAGATTCATATAGCCGACATCAACTTGCTTGAAACAGAGACGTACTAGTTGGTTTTGTCATTTGTATTCACATGGGGGAGAATATACTTGTTGACATTGTATGTTCATACCTATTTAGTATAGAAGTTTCCAAACGCTTGATGTGGTTTGGCAAGTCTTTGTGAGCTAATGGGCAAGTACATTATATTAATCAAAGTGCAGAAATTCCAACTTGACGGCTCAGCCAATGCATTTGATCTACACCAACAGCTGACAAACACAAAAGATAACATTCAAAGCATAACGAAAAGAGAAAGAAGTGTGAGCAAATAGTATTGCAGGCTGCAGCTATAGGTATTCTCCATTTTAGTTTATACAGAACTAATTCACATGCAAATTGGCAGAAGAAAAACTTCATAAGCAATGAAATTAAGCACAAGAGAGATACTTCTGTTTCTTTCTATATCAACTGCTTCAGGTATCATTAGCACCAATAAATTCCTGCGAGATTCAGAAACTTTAGTCTCCAATGACAAAAGATTCATATTCGGGTTCTTTAGTCCTGAAAATTCGACGAATCGTTATGTTGGTGTTATGTTTAATGTCCAACCACCAACTGTTGTATGGGTTGCCAACAGAGAGAAACCTTTACAGGATTCTAGTGGAAGAGTGACAATATCTGATGATGGAAATCTTGTAATCTTGAATTCACAGAATAGGAGTATATGGTCATCAAATATTTCACCAGCTGTGAGAAATTCCACAGCGCAGATCTTGGATACTGGAAACTTAGTTTTGAACGATAGCTTCAATGGGAGGGTTCTCTGGGAAAGTTTTCGGGATCCTTCAGATTGCTTCTTGCAGACCATGAAAATTGGCGTTGATGTAAGTACTAACACGACAAATCTGCTGAAATCATGGATAAGTCCTTCAGATCCATCTGTTGGGAGTTTCTCAGTTGGTATTCAACCTGAAACAGTTCCCCAGATTTCCATATGGAAGAATGGGAAACCTCATTGGCGTAGTGGTCCATGGAATAAACAGGTTTTCATTGGGGTACCAGACATGACTTCATTCTATCTCAATGGATTTGATCTAGTTAATGACAACAAGGGCACCGTGTACCTTACCTATTTATATGCAAATCAGATTGAGCTGACGTTTTTCACCTTGAACTCAACAGGGTTTTTGCAGCAGAAATATATGGATCCTAGTAAGAATGATTGGGAAGTAACATGGGAATTTCCTGCAACTGAGTGTGATTTTTATGGAAAATGTGGACCTTTTGGAAGCTGTGATCCTACAAGCTCACCAATCTGTTCTTGTTTAGAGGGATTTAGGCCGACAAGTGAAGAGGAATGGGGAAAAGGAAACTGGACTCGTGGATGCAACAGAAAGTCCATGTTAGAGAGCGAAAGAAACAGTTCTAACCTTGAGCAAGGGAAGCAAGATTGGTTTCTGAAGCTGCAGTCAATGAAAGTGCCGGATTCTGCTATTTGGGTACCTTTTGCAGATGAAGATTGTGTTAACGGTTGCTTGAGGAATACTTCATGCATAGCTTATTCATACTACACAGGCATAGGATGCATGCATTGGGAAGGAAGCTTACTTGATGTTCAGAAATTCTCCATCGGTGGGGCAGATTTATTCCTCCGCCTTTCATACTCTGAGCGTGGTAAGACCTGCATTTCAGAACTATAATATAAGCTATAAAACTCTGCTTGCCAATGACATATGTATAATGGACACTTATTTTGTAATGCAGATCAAAAGAGAGAATATAAAGTAGTCATTGCCATCATAGTCCCAGTAGGCTCAATAATTCTTGCCATTTTCGGATACATTTCCTGCAAATATGTAGCTAAGCGCAGAGGTAACAAGCTTATCTGAAACATTAGAAAATCCATAGTAGCTTTAATCATACGAATCACTTTATCTCTAATGTCCTCTTGAATCAGGATGGAAGAGAATGAGTAAGATCTTATCAAGTGAATCATCGCCAAACTATTACAAGGAAGACAAGATTACAGAGGACATCAATCAAGCTAAATTGGAAGAACTGCTTGTATACAACTTTGATATCTTAGCAAACGCAACTGAGAATTTTCATCTGTCCAGCAAGCTTGGACAGGGAGGTTTTGGTCCAGTTTACAAAGTAAGGATTTGTTTGATTGAGTGTCTTACAATTGTTTTTAAGAAAACATAACCAAGTATATGATATAATTGCAGGGGAAATTGCCAGATGGACAAGAGATTGCTGTGAAAAGGCTTTCACAGTCTTCTGGTCAGGGGCTGCAGGAGTTCATGAATGAGGTTGTGGTGATTTCAAAACTTCAACATCGTAATCTTGTTAGACTTTTTGGGTGCTGCATAGAAAGAGGGGAAAAGATTCTGGTTTATGAATACATGCCAAAAAGAAGCTTGGATGCCTATCTCTTTGGTTCGTTATGATTAGTTTTCTTTTATTTTCCATAGTCTAACTAAAACAAACTTTTCTTTAATTTAAACTTGTCAAATTCGCGATGTATTTTCAGGGTCACAACAACAAGAGGAAGAGTTCCTGGATTGGAGTAAACGTGTGATCATTATTGAGGGAATTGGTCGAGGCCTTCTTTACCTTCACAGGGATTCAAGACTAAGGATTATTCATAGGGATTTAAAGGCCAGCAACATTTTGTTGGATGAATACCTGAACCCCAAAATTTCAGATTTTGGGATGGCAAGGATTTTTGCAGGCAACCAAGATCAGGCCAACACAAGCAGAGTAGTTGGAACCTAGTAAGTTCTTGTATCTTTCCCTTTTATCTTTTCATGAATGAAAAGAACACAAAAAGTAAACATTCAAAATTATAACATGATGCAGTGGTTACATGGCACCTGAATATGCAATGGAAGGAAGATTCTCAGAAAAATCAGATGTTTATAGCTTTGGAGTATTGTTATTGGAAATTATAAGTGGAAGGAGGAACACTAGCTTTCACCAAGATGATGGTGCATTAAGCCTGCTAGCATTGGTAAGTTCTTATGAAAATTAAGCTCCAATTCATATGAAATGTCAACTTTTCATAGTTCAAGTTTCCAATGTTTTGTCAACGTGCTTGCTCTTCAGGCGTGGAAATGTTGGATTGGAAACAAGATTGTGGAATTGGTTGATCCCAAGATAACTGACCTGCACCTTGAAAAAGAAATGGTGAGATGTGTACAAGTTGGATTATTATGTGTACAAGAATATGCAGAAGACAGACCAAATGTCTCCACAATTTTGTCTATGCTCACCAAGATGTTTATAGCTTTGGAGTATTGTTATTGGAAATTATAAGTGGAAGGAGGAACACTAGCTTTCACCAAGATGATGGTGCATTAAGCCTGCTAGCATTGGTAAGTTCTTATGAAAATTAAGCTCCAATTCATATGAAATGTCAACTTTTCATAGTTCAAGTTTCCAATGTTTTGTCAACGTGCTTGCTCTTCAGGCGTGGAAATGTTGGATTGGAAACAAGATTGTGGAATTGGTTGATCCCAAGATAACTGACCTGCACCTTGAAAAAGAAATGGTGAGATGTGTACAAGTTGGATTATTATGTGTACAAGAATATGCAGAAGACAGACCAAATGTCTCCACAGTTTTGTCTATGCTCACCAGGGAAATTGATGATTTACCAAGTCCTAAACAACCTGCATTTACAACAAGACCGAGCTTTTCCAAAAAATGCACTTCTAAATCTCAAGGCTCCATTAACAATGTTACCGTTACTATTATGGAAGGACGATAAGGCATATACGATTTTTATTTAGGCATGATAGTATTCTTTTCTCTGTAATTATTACTGTTTCTGGTTCTTATTATAATGGTTCCACTCAATATTACCTCAGTACATTAAGAATCCAAGAGAAAAGTGTTAACCCTGCAAGTCACTTATGCTTGATAACAGAACCCATATCCAAGCAAGAAGAAGCAAAGCTAGACTTCAAACTCAGAGTTGTCAACAAGTAGCCTAAACAGGTGTTTGCAGAAATTTAGAGAATCCTATCCACGGATTGAGATCATTTAGAGTTAGCTTTGTATTACAGCTGACTCTGAAGATGAACAACTTTTCTAGACAAAGGCATTCTTACAGCGTGGTTGGAGGGTCACCAAATCAACAGGGAAGCCTGTAGGAAAGGGGAACATGCATCCAATTCACATCAGAAATTGCTGAAATGATGTGAAATCTTGCACCACTTTTGTTCTTGGAACTCAAGTCATGTCAGCCCAAGAATATTTGCAGTATCACAGGTAACAAAGGACAAGAAACCTTCTGAGATAGCATGTAAATTTTTCAAAATTCAGACAAAGATTACTCCTTTCCTTAGAATTGTTAATAAACCTATTATTCTGCTGATGCCTTTACTAAATATTATAATGAAGAATCCTATTAATATTCTTGCATTTGTAATCTCATTTTTGGATTGTAAACTTATGAGAGTGAGATAAGCATTCTACAAACTGGTAATAATATGTGAAATAATCTACTCTTCCAACCTATTAACATTAAAACGATGAGTATTAGGTGATGTATCCAAGTTCTTTTACATACTCTAGATACTTTCATATATCGATGTGAATATTTTATATACTTAATGCAGAACATCAGATCAAGAGTTATCTTTCCAAGGAAAACTATATTTCTTATGAGTAAGATCAAAACTTGGAGTTCGAGGCCCCTCTGGCTTCAGCCAATTCCCGGCAACATAAACAACAAAAAGGAAAAAAAAAAGAAAAGAAAAGGAGCAGTAACATTGTTATTGATGAATTGCCGAGCAATTCCTTCCCATGGCTAAAAGTCATACTTTAAGTGACAATTTTTTATCACAACGCTCCCCCATTTGCTAATAATGCTATTAAATCTTAAAAATTAGGCAGATTAAAGTAAGAGGAAAATACTGACCTTTTGTAATCTCCGGAAAGGACATTTGTTCTTGTAATTCAGCTTTTCATGTCCGACTACCAAATTCGGAGGCGGAGGTGGATCTAATCCCTTCATTCAAGCTTCTGTACCGTGTTTGTTTGACATCTCCAGAGTTCAATAAAATTTATGAATTTAATCAACTTTTAGTCACTGTTCATATTAGATCAAATGCTCATAAGAGGTCTATTAATACCAAACCTCCGAGTCTGATAGAATGAATTATTTGCCTGGGGAAAGAAATTCACAGAATACTCAGTTATGATTTTATCATCTGTTCTTCTAATTATACAAAAGCAATTTTGTAACAAACAAATTAGGAAAAGAGATGTTCAAAGTTTCATCCTTATCACATTAATTGGTTGAAGTCTTGTAGTAGTAATTTTTTATTGTGATATTTGCTCAATTCAAATATTTCAAGTATATCAAACTACATTTTCTTGCAAATTTGTCCATCTACATGAATTTCCCTAGCTAGTGTACAGAAAATCAAGCAGATCGGGAATCCAATCATAAAGTGACATCGGAACATACTCAAAAACTTAAATTGTAACAACCTTTTTTGTCTAGTATCAGTTGATCCTCCAGCATGACCAATTAGATTGGAAACTTGAATGACATCAATTGGCTTAATAGGAACTATAGTGTCCTATTATTCGCGATCTAATTCGTGATGCGCATCACTTTTTTTGTTGTTGTAAGATTTTGGTCAAATACACACCCAAAAAAAGGGAAACAAAATGAAGCATTATTGATCATTACCTTACCTCTCTATTCAAACATAACCCAATAAAATAACTGGCTTTTAAATGGCCTTTTCCAGGAAGATGCCTAACCTATGTCATATAATGGTGTAGAGATTATGTAGACAATCTTATTCTAGGTGAAGGATCTTTCTGCCCACTGCCTAATTCAATAATATATCTTTCTTAATAACTTGACATTTGAACTACATGTTCAAATAAAGAGGTTGAATCTAAATACTGACAAATCCTATGTTATGACAGCTTAAAATTGACCATGAAACATCATATTGTTGACATTTCTAATTAGTATGGAAGTCTCCATAACGCTGATGTGGTTTGCTTACCATCCTAAGTTGAATAATAATGATAAAATATTTTAGTTATCACCCAAGTGTAACATGACGGGTCAATCAAGGCATCTGATCCAGATAGTTGTTGGCAAATTAAGACGAAAAATGATACTATTGAGCAAACAGTGAGAAAATATCAACAAATACTGCAACTATAGGAAAATCAATTTCAGATGATAACTACAATTCTAGTGCTTATTGGGAGAAGAAAACTTGATAAGAAATGAAGCTGAGCTTAAGCTGTAAGAAGATACTTCTTTGGTGTGCTTTTCTTGTTCTGTTTTTTCATATAACAAATGCTTCATCAGACTCCATTAGTATCAATGAGTTCCTGCAAGATTCAGAAACTTTAGTCTCTAATAACAAAACATTCAAATTGGGGTTTTTTAGTCCTGAGAATTCGGCGAATCGTTATGTTGGTGTCATGTTTAATATGAAATCACAATCTGTTATATGGGTAGCCAACAGAGACCAGCCTTTACAAGATTCTAGTGGAAGAGTAACAATATCAGAAGATGGCAATCTTGTAATCTTGAATGGACAGGGGAAGAGTGTATGGTCATCAAATATTTCACCAGCTGTGAGAAATTCTACAGCCCAGCTTTTGGATACTGGAAACTTAGTTTTGAAGGACAATTCCAGTGAGAGAGTTCTATGGGAAAGTTTTAGTGATCTTTCAGATTCCTACTTGCAGCACATGAAACTTGGCACAGATAAGAGTACTAACACCACAAATCTGTTGAAATCATGGAGAAGTCCTGTAGATCCATCTGATGGGAGTTTCTCAGCTGGTATTCAAACTGAAACAATTCCTCAGATTTTCATATGGAAGAATGGCTTACCTCATTGGCGTAGCGGTCCATGGGATAAACAGGTTTTTAGTGGAGTACCAAACATGACTTCATTCTATTTCAGTGGATTTGAGCTAGTAAATGACAACATGGGCACCACCTACTTCTACTATTCATATGCATACCAAGGTGATGACATTATGTACTTAGTTTTGAACTCAACAGGATTTCTGCAACAAAAAGATTTATATGCTAGGAAGAATGAGTGGGAAGTCACATGGGTAACTCCTTCAAATGAGTGTGATTTTTATAGAAAGTGTGGACCTTTTGGAAGCTGTGATTCTGAAAGTTCACCAATTTGTAGTTGTTTGCAAGGGTTTAAACCAAAAAATCAAGAGGAGTGGGTCAAAGGAAACTGGACAAATGGATGCATCAGAAAGACTGTGTTAGAAAAAGAAAGAAACAACTCTAACGTTGAGCAAGGTAAGCAAGATTGGTTTTTGAAGTTGCAGTCAATGAAAGTGCCGGATTCCGCTATTTGGGTACCTTCAGCCAAAGAAGACTGTGAAAGTGATTGCTTGAGAAATTTATCCTGCATAGCTTATTCATACTACACAGGCATAGGGTGTATGCATTGGGAAGGGAGCTTAATTGATTCTCAGAAATTCTCCAAGGGTGGGGCTGATTTATTCATTCGCCTTGCATATACTGAACAAGGTAGTACCTCTTTACACTTAGGTTTGCATTCTTTAGCTTACTGTCTAGAAAACAACATGTATGTTTACTTGTTCTCTGCATGTCGAAATGCAATTGTAATAATGAACACTATTTTGAAATGCAGAACAAAAGAAGAGCAATAAAGTAGCCATCAGGATCATAGTTCCAATAATTTGCTCAATAGTCATTGCCATTTTGGGATACATTTCCAGCAAACTGTTGGCTAAACATAGAGGTAGGTATCAAGCTTATCTACAGTAGCTTTAATCAGACAAATGATTTGATCTTTCAATGTGTATTTTGAATCAGGAAGGAAGAGAAAGCGTGAGCTCTTATCAAAAAAATCATTTCCAAGCTATTACAAGCTAAGTTTGGCTAGAGATGACATTTACAGAGTTAAATTTGAAGATCTAACCATATACAACTTTGACATGCTAGCAAATGCAACTGACAATTTTCATCTGTCTAGCAAGCTTGGGCAGGGTGGTTTTGGTCCAGTTTATAAAGTAATTTTTTTTTGTTTGAGAGTGTTTTATTATCTTTTTTTCAGAAAAGATATTGAAGTCATTCGATATAACTGCAGGGAAAACTTCCAGAGGGACAAGAAATTGCTGTGAAAAGGCTTTCACAGTCTTCTGGTCAGGGGCAAGAGGAGTTTATGAATGAGGTTGTGGTGATTTCCAAACTTCAGCATCGTAATCTTGTTAGACTCCTTGGCTGCTGCATAGAAAGAGGGGAGAAGATGCTGGTTTATGAATACATGCCAAAAAGAAGCTTGGATGCCTATCTCTTTGGTTGGTTTCTTTTTCTTTTATTTCCTTTTCTTTATATTCCGTATTGTCTAACTAAAAAAGAAAAAAATTCGAACTGTTACATTTTCAATGTACTTACAGGTGCACACTCTGAAGAGGAATACTTCCTTGATTGGAGCAAACGTGTGATCATCATTGAGGGAATCGGCCGAGGCCTCCTATACCTTCACAGGGATTCAAGACTAAGGATTATCCACAGGGATTTAAAGGCAAGCAACATTTTGTTGGATGAATACCTGAACCCTAAAATTTCAGATTTTGGTATGGCAAGGATTATTGCAGGCAACCAAGATCAGGCCAATACAATTAGGGTTGTTGGAACCTAGTAAGTTTGTGAATCTCATTCTCCATTTTTTTCATGGTTAAAATGAAAAGAACAAGTAATCGTTCAAATTTATAATGTGATGCAGTGGTTATATGGCACCTGAATATGCAATGAGAGGAAGATTCTCAGAAAAATCAGATGTTTACAGCTTTGGCGTATTGTTACTAGAAATTATTAGTGGAAGGAGGAACAATAGCTTTTACCAAGATGATGGTGCATTAAGCCTTCTAGCATGGGTAAGTTTTTATGAAAACTAAGCTCCACTTCATATGAAATGTCAACTTTTCATAGTCAATACTCTTGCTCTTCAGGCATGGAAGTTGTGGAACGAAAATAAGATTGTCGAATTGGTTGACCCCAAGATAATTGAACTACAGCTCAAAAAGGAGATTCATAGATGTGTGCATGTTGGACTATTATGCGTGCAAGAATATGCAGAAGACAGGCCAAATGTCTCCACAGTTTTGTCTATGCTCACCCGGGAAATTGATGATTTACCAAGTCCTAAACAACCTGCATTTACAACAAGACCGACCCCTTCCAAGAAAGGCTCCTCTAGAATTCAAGTCTCTGTGAACGATGTTAGCATTACTATTATGGAAGCACGATAGAGATCATATAATTTTGGTGTAGGCATATATCTTATTCATTTCCAGTAATTATTCTTGTATGTGATTTTACATTTAGAATCCAAGAGAAGTTTAAACCGAGCTGAGTCCTTTAGCAGTGAGAATTTCAGTCATGAGATTAACAAGTTAGTTTCCTTAACAAAGGGTATTCCATATCTGAATTTGGAGTTCAAAATACAAATTTCTTTTATGCTCAGCACCCACCTGTAAAAAGGACCCCAATTAATAAATAAATAGAAAATTGAAACACCATTGTTTGGTTACAAAATCCGTATCTAAGCAATAATAAGGGAAGAGTTCATACTCAATGTTGTTAACAAGTAGCATGAAAAAAAAATCTTGGCGTTTCCACAATATTAGTATGATGATCGTATGATTTGGACTTAAATGAATGAAGAAATGAGGATTCATATAGCCGACCCTAACTTGTTTGGAATTGAGGCATAATTGTTGTTGTGGATCGGGATTTGGACTAAGCTTTGCATTCCAGTTGACTCTGAAGACAGGAAGAAACTGTTGGTCTATGAAGACATGCCAAAAGAAGATTGGATGCTTCTCTAACTGATAATTTGATTTGAAATTATTAATTTCATACATTTCTATTTATTAGTTTCAAGTTCACCCCTTAAAGAGGAAGAGTCGCATGATCATTGTAGTCAACGTGTGATCGTCATTGAAGGAATAGACTGAGGAGTCTTACCTTCACAAAAATTTAGACTAAAGATTATTCATTGAGAAGATTTGAATGTAAGCAACATTTTTTTTTGGATGAAAAACTGTACCCTAAAATTTCAGATTTTGGGCATTGGAAGGATTGTGCTGACAACCCACATCAGGTGCATCATTCTCTCTATTTCATGGTTTAAAAGGAGATAACGAGTGGGTTGTTGGATAAAGTTAGTTCTTATATATTATTTTCGCGATTTCGTTGTCTAACATAAGACAATTAGTAACCATTCAAAATTATTATATGATGTTGTGGTGACATGGTGCCTGAACAGGCAAATGGAAGGAAGTTTCTCAGAAAGATCAGATGTTTATAGTTATGGAGAATGAAACGTCAACTTTCCGTAGCTCAATTTGCTATTATTTTGTCAATGCCTTTGCTCTGAAGGCATGGAATTTCTGGAATGGAAACAAGATTGTCAAACTTAGGGGTGTCAAAAATGAACCCAAACATAGGTAACCAGTCCAATCCGCTTAGAATTTTAAGGGTTGGGCTCAAGATAATTTGAATTGAGTTCAATCTCAACTCATTCAAGTCTAACCCATTTTAAGAGAATCCTCAATTGAGCCCAATTCAATCTCCAATTTCAACCGTTTTTAAAACTCTTTACTAAGATATGTTCTTATATTAAAGGTGTGAATTATTATCTATTTAACACCTTTTAGGATTTATCTATCAATTTGTTACTTTTTTAAAAGGTAAAAATGTTCATTACCTCCCTGAACTTAAAGCTTTTTATTTAGTGTACACCTAAATTATATTCCGTTTTAATTACCCCCGAACTTGTTTATTCCTCCATCGCATACACTTTTATAGTCCACCTACTCCAATCGTGACTACACGCGTGTGACAAGTTGACAAAAGTGGTGATGTGGATTTCCAGCTGGATAAATAATAGCCCCACCTAGCCACAATTGTTTTGAATTTAATCAGAAATATTAATGGCAGTAAATGCCAACTTAAACGGGTCCATTTCCCCACTTTTTGAAGAACACTCATGACTCAGCCAACGTCTCTTCGTCTTCTTAAATTTGTTTTGTGTATATATATATTTTTAATTAAAAACTTCAACTGAGTAAATTAAACTTTAACACAAATTAGAGTATTATATTACACACATTATATAGGAATCTAATTAATACAAAATTTGAAACAACATCCGTTCATGAAAAATAGGTTGTTAATTAAGATTATTTTTTTAAGGGAAAAGGGTCTGATATACCCCTCAACTTTGTCATTTAGAGCTGATATACCCCTCGTTATGAAAGTGGCTCATATATACCCCTACTTATATACAAATGGCTCACATATACCTTTTTCCTCTAACGGAAATGGAAAAAATTAATTTTAGTTTAATTTTTTTTAAAAATAAATATAATCCCATATGGGTATAAAATTGTATATAATAGCAAACTATTAATTCAAATTAAATGCTATAAATATAGTTTGATTTAATTGTACTCCATAGCAAACTATTGCTATTTCACCTCTCTCCTGGTGAATCTCGCTCGCCACTCTCGTTCTCTCCCTCGCCTCTCTCGTTTTTTATACAAACGCAACCTCTCTCCCCTTTCCCAGATCTCGCTCTCTCACTCGCCTCACTCACTTTATACAAAAACGCAAATATATAAAATGCATGAAAATTGTATATATATATATTTTTTCGTTCCCCTCTCTCCCCTCTCCTAGATCTTGCTCGCCACTCTCCCAGATCTCGCTCGCTCGCTCACTTGCCTCTCTCACTTTATACAATTGATCTTTTTGTATATGTATACCAAATCAGATTATACAACTGCTTTCAATTGTATATGTATAGCGAATTATACATATATATGTTTGCTATGGAGCGCAATTATGCAAACTTTGCTATAGCATACAAATATGATTTTTTTGTTTGCTATATGTGAAAGTTGCTCTATATTTAATCCCCCTCAAACCTTTTTTTAAAAAACTTTTTTTTGACCTTTTTTTGTTTCAATGACTAATTTAGATTTATTATTTTGATGGTCGAATTTATTTATGTTTCACTAATATTCTTGTAAAACTTGTTATAAATGACCAATTTTTTTTCTTCAAATACAAAAATTAAATTACAATATAGACAAAAAAAAAAGTTTTAAATTATAATATAGCTACAAAAAAGTAGTTCAATTCTTTTTTTCTTTACACTAAGGAATGAAAGAAAAAAAAATAAGAATAAAAAGCTCAAATAATGATAATCAAAGAAGTCAAAAATAATTTATGTACGAAAAAGATTAAAATATACCTTAAACTTTGCTATAAGAATCATATATACCCCTTAATGATTTAAAAAAAAATTAAAGTCAAAGATATAAATTTAAAACTAATTTTTTCACTTCCGTTAAATGAAGGGTATATGTGAGCTCATTTTGTAACAGTAGGGGTATATGTGAGCCGTTTGTATAATGGTAAGGATATATATGAATCACTTTCATAACGAGGGGCATATCAGCTGTAAATGACAAAGTTGAGGGGTATATCAGGCCATTTTCCCTTTTTTTTAAATCTAAAAATTGAATAATTATAATTGTTTGTTTTCTCAGCATTTAAATATTAAAAAATTGGTGAAAAGCTCACATTTTTGTAAATGCAAAAGAATTCTCATGTTGTAGAAGACAAATTATTTTAAACAAATTTTGGTAGATATTGAAAGAGGTGAGTGGTGGTTGAAGAGAATCAAGGCTAGTTTCTAGCTTAGTGCATCGTCATCTTTTTTGGGTGTATTATAATTCAGAATTGGAGGAGTCCCACGTAAACAAACAAGTCTCCTATTATAATTCATGAATTTAGCAAATGCAATTAAAACGAAAAGAGAGAAAAATTCTGAAATTTGAAAAGGGAGAAGGGATTAGGGAGAATAAATAGTTAGATAATAGAGAGAAAATTCTGAAAATATGTCAAATATTAAAGAAAAATGGAGATTTTAGGTTTTTTTTTTTTACCATTGTAGCTTTATGATGTGGCAAAAAATTATTTCCTCACGCGCCTAGTAGAGTTTGTTGTCAATTTCTACGCCAAGTGGACAATAAAGGTGTACGCGATTGAGGAATAAACAAGTTCGGGGGTAATTAAAACATTTTTTTACCATTGTAGCTTTATGATGTGGCAAAAAATTATTTCCTCACGCGCCTAGTAGAGTTTGTTGTCAATTTCTACGCCAAGTGGACAATAAAGGTGTACGCGATTGAGGAATAAACAAGTTCGGGGGTAATTAAAACAGAATATAGTTTAGGTGTACACCGAATAAAAAGCTTCAAGTTCAGGGGGTAATGAACACTTTTGCCTTTAAAAAAAAAAAACTCGAGTAGAAATTAAATTGTGATTATAAAAGTTAAATATCACTATGTTAAAATTATTGAGATTAATCGGATCAAATTGGGCGGATCAAGAACCAGCCCATTTTTTAGCCCATTTGAACCCAAAGTAAACTTGGGCGGGTCAAGACCCAACCCAATTTCTATTTCAACCCATTTTTATATTTTCAATTTCAACTCAATCCGGACCATTTGACACTCCTAGTCAAACTAGTAGACCCCAAGATAATAGAGTTGCAGTTTGAAATGGAAATTTGAAATGGTCACAGGTTGGACTATTATGTGGTCAAGAAAATGCAGCAGAACAGATGGACTAAATATGTCCATGGTTTTGTATACCTTATATGTGAGGCAAGTCATTATCACTCAGTTGGAGAAAAATATTTTCAACAGTTAAGGTAACAAAATATTTTATAGAATACCAATTCTCAATAGACGCCATCACTCATCAAATTGAGAAGAGATAGTAAAAACAAAAACCTCTGAGCTTTGGAGGAAAATAAAAATCACTATCTTAAGCTTGTACATGGAGAGGAGACCGCTTTCCTGAAAGAATAAACACCCCCCTTAAAATATCTTCCAGAATTAGCAGATACGGTGGGTGCTTCATTGAGTCAATAAGGAAACCCATAGGAAAGGAGATGATCCATCAAATTCAACGTGACACAAAATCGTGTCCCGCTTCTATTCTCAGAGCTTAAGCCACATCAGCCCAAGAAATTTTGCAGAATCAAAGGTACTAAATGCACAAAACTACTCTGAAAAACACGGGTCTAACAATTAATTGATACCTGGTTGACAAGTAAACTGAAGAGAAATATTAGTATCCAAGAATCTTATTTTCGTGGCTAAAAAAGGTCATTGTTGAAGTTCTCATAGACTGAACCTTTTGGCAGAAAAGAAATCAGTATGAGCTTATATCGATCATTTCTTCTTTTGCTTTGTTGCTTTTATGTAGTTTTTTCTGG